AGAACAGATATGAAAATGGCATCGAAGGTTTAGGTCTAATATTGACGAATAGATGGTGCTCTGCGAACTTATTGAACAATCTTGTATGTGTGTGCATATAGGGCTGTCACTCTGAAAGTTTTGAGATATGTGCGTACAGTAAGTGGCAGAAAAAATATTAACCATTAGATTTGAAAAGTTTGAACTATTTCAGCCTAGCAGACGATTTTTTATTAACCAATTGCAAGTAATTTAGCATAGAATAAATTATTAATTAGAGTTTATCAAATTTCCCCCATGCATACTCGCCGTGGTGTAAATGATTATTAGCATATTCAACTGGCAACTGGAAAATGTTTGGTTCAAGTTCCAACAAGGGAAGGTTGAATTCTCCACTTTCTTAATTGAATTATTTTGTTATCAGATAAATATGTTTATTAAAATAATGTTATTATGATTATTCATTTACGTATCCACTAATGTTTTTGAGTGATCTTTATGGAATTATCAGTTGGAGAGAAACTAAGCCACTATTTTAAATGCAAAAATATTAGCTAACCAATAAATAATTGCAAAATTCTACTAAATGTTTCTCTGGCTATGCAAATGAATAGAAAGACACCAACATATAGATTCACATATTATTTGTGCATATGATTGTCAAACCATATTACAGAGTATGGGATAATCAGCACTTTTGTAAAAGAGGATAAATGTGCAAACAGTTTTATCATTCTGACATATTAAAATGTTATATATACAAGCATGTCTATATCTAAAAATATGACAGAAAATTATAATAACAAACAGCATCTCTTTTACAGTATAAAAATTGATAAACTATGCTATAAACAGTTGTTATTTTTTTTTTTTTTTTTACGTCTTCAAGTAAACAGTTATTATTCTTTAATACTAATAGATTAAAAAATACTATTTCATGAAAAAAAGCTGCAGTCTTATAAAATTGTTCCATTATAATAATCATAGTAACTTAGTATCATCTTGTTAAACAATCTTATTATCTAAAAATAAATAATACAGTTATAAATTATGCATATGTTTTGTCGGCAGCTATCCTTTCAATTAAATAACAAAGTTTGAAATCTATTGATATTTCTATAATTCATTACTATTAGCAAATCTCATTTATAATAAGTCAAAAGATTGCAATCAGTTTTTTTCTCTCTCACTGTAAAATAAAATTTTAATCATTTAGTAATTTTTTAGTACAGTACAAAGTCCGAGATCTGGACCTCAGAGCCACCACCCCCCAAAAAATTTTTTAAATGCTTTACGTATGGGCATTTAATCCTCCCCCCCTCCGAGCATAATAAAGCATGTGAAGAGTCCCGATTCTTAATTTCACTTCGGCACTATATAAAATACCTTGTTATTGAAGAAACAGTCATTTTAGCATAAATTTGTATGATCAATAATTTGATTCTGTCGCTACGTATCTGCTTAGCATACATCTCAAACTGAAACATTCTAGATAAGAAACATTGTTGATTTTACACCTACTAATATTTTATATCCCTGGCACCAACCTGGTGAACCATTATTTATTACATTTTGCTTTCATCACTGCATGTTTATCAACACATGACAACTTGAGGAATGACTCATGTAGTGATGCCTAAATAATTTTTTTATGTTAGTAATTGGATAATAAAGAGCATGGTAACCTTTTATGCTGACATTATGCTTGGCGATGATTTCAGATTTAAGTTAAAAGGCCTTCCACACATCTTTTATGTAAGTGATCCACAATTTTATTATGCAAATTTTATTTTAAAAGTATGCATGCTTTAAAATTCAATTCTAACTTCTGAATGCAGGCCTGTCTTTCCCTTGCACTCAGGTTGAGACTTTTAAGGAAACTAAAGCCCCAAATCATATGTCAAAGGCTTATTTTCCTGGATATGCGATGAATATATGAGAACGGATAAATTTTGTATTACTCAAAGCACTAAAAGTGATGTCCTGGTTATGCACTTGCCACGCTAGTGACTCCTTACTGCAGAGCTCCTATAGACATTCTGAATGATGTAACCAAACGAGAGGGACCACTCCTGTCACTATGTTATGTCACTTATGTTTAATCTCACGTTTTATTCAGGAAAAGTATTCAAGGAAAATTTCCACTTGACGGCTAGAAATATATCGACAGTGCATCGCGATCAGAAAGTCTTGAACTCTTCTCTCTTTATTTTAAAAGCTATACTCTTCCGTTAAATTTCTTTCCATATCCTCATACTGTTTCTAGAATTCTCAATATTCTTCTTAGTAGAGCTTGGATCTTGAATCTATTGCAAAATATGTACTCTGCGACCCAAAGCCCTTTACTACCATAATTTATTATTGTTCCTAAAGGTAGTCATTTTTGCTTTTAATCACATTATCCTTTTTTCTTGGTGCGCTGCAAAAAAATGAGTGGTATCTGCCATTCCTTGGAAATGAACATTATACATACATGTATAATCAGGGCTTAAACTCAGACAGAGATCGGCTGAGCTGCTTCTTAGCATCTAAGTGGAATTGTAATTCCAGCCATTGCCCCCAAATATGTCAAGGTCCAATACTTTCTTTTCCTATTTAACTATTTAAAATTAATTTAATAATTTATTAGATTTCTCTTTTTTTACATTTTTCTTAATTTAAATTTATTAATAATTTTATCTATTTCTCTTTCCATCCTGACAGTCTTCCATAGGGCTCTGGCACTTCTAATTTTAGAAATTAAACCCTGAATTCAGTCTAATTGTCTCAGTGCCAACAGAAGCAAGATAAAATTTAGCAAAACAACTTGTCTTCAGTTGCCAATCTCATGATGCATAGGCAAATATATATAGTGAACAATAGCCAGATTTTATGTTTTCAAATGCAAATTTTAAAGATTTTCGGATATCGCAAACCAAAGGTGAAATCTTCCAATTAATGGATTTAATAAAATCCTAGTATACAGTGCAGCTTTGGCGAGATTTTGAAAATTATTGCCAATACTAAAATGATCCGTTTACTACTCATCATATATGTTGCATTTACTGCTCATCATAAAGTGCACCCATGTGCACCGTATACTAGGATTAAATCACGGATTTTGTAAAAAAAGCGGAGAAGTGATAATAAATGAAGATGATACAAAAGAAGTTTTTCATTATGATGGCAATGCTCTTCAATCAATTAATAGATGGCAAAATCTGTAGTATTCGAGAAATACTGCTACCGATAGTGAAGAGAGTGATTCTGAATTCTCGACACAGCAATTACAAGAGTTCAACGATGTAACAGAACAAAAGCACAAAAAACGAAGCAACTTACATTGAAAGAAATGTTTAGTACTCAAACTCAGTGGCACAAACAGCCCTAATGGGCCAAGGCCTGCAGTGCCCCGAAATCTGCTTTCTTGAACGTGGGCCCTATGGTGTGTAAGCATATGGTGAGTTTAGTCCCCAAGCAAACTTGGTACTCATTTTATCAAACCAAGGGATGAAACGCTGAGTCGACCATGCCCAGCCTTGGGGTTCGAATCCCGGACCTGTGGTGCTGCTGCGCGATGCGCTAGCCATTGTGCCACCGGCCCTCAATGTTTAATAAAATAAGCAAATAAATATTAAGTTGCCTTTTTTTGTGTGTGTGTGTGTAATTTTGATACCTTTTAAATCATATGTGCTTCAAATTTTTAATTTTATAATTTCTGCATGCCATCTTACTAGTTTTAAACTGATGGTCTACTATCTGGAAAACCCCAAATCTGGAATCACGGAAGTCCCGACGAGTTCGGATCTCGCACTTTGTACTGTTGTAAGTAATGAATCAATGAACTTACTGAAATATGGTCACTTTGTCTTTTAAACAGGTAATGATTTAACCCTTTCCAGCATGCTACCTTTTAAAGTTGGAATTTCAATAAAAAAAAAAGGTATGCAGTCTAATTAGGCCTAGAGGAGTACACAAGTAAAATTTTGTGAAGATAGCACTTATCGTTTTAATTCTGTGAGTGTGCCCGAAGCAGGCACACTGATTAAACATAGCTTCGAAAAGAGTGCTGAAACGTGCATTGCTGGGAAGTGCATAAAAGCGTAAGAGATTTTGCCTACAAGTAAAAAACACTAGATTCTGAATACTGTAGCAGATTTAGCATTACCTAGGGGTGTGCCACAGGGAGACCTGCTACTCTACACCTCCCTAAAAGGCTTCTTTTTTTTTTTTTTTTTTTTTTTTGTTATATGATGATTACATGCGTATGAATGAAAAAACGCAACTTGGGTATATGATATTTACATTATTTACATTTCATATTTACACTTTAGTCTATTTTTTTCATGGTGATACTTTTTGAAGAAAGTGACACTACCTTTGAAAAAAGCACAACTCAACATTGTATGCTTTGCACGTGTACCGTGATCCGTATCAGATTCACTATCTGAAGCAAATCATGTAGCGTTTTCAGTGCTTCAGAAATGGTCAGCCGTCTCCGATCTGTTTGGACAATAATTAAAAATCCGAAAAAATAAGTATTATATCTACGAGGGCATTTTGAAAAGTAAAGATGCAATGGCTCGCATTCCTTAAAAAAAAGTTTATTTAGAAAACATCAGTTACATGTTATTAACTGGATTATTGATTATTTTTCGACATAATCACCCCCGTAATCCAAACATTTATTAAGTCGGTGCAGAAGCTTTTGTATCCCGTAGTCATAGAAGGTTGCCGCCTGTTGAAACCCAGCGCGCACACAATTTCCTGTACCCTAACTTGACAGTCACAACTTCATAAAGAGTTGACATTGACACTTCTGGTATGATCTGATGCAATTCTTTCATTTGAGACGCCTTTTGCATGAATTGCTTCCTCTGTTCTCTGAAGAAGGCATCAAGATCACAGATGGTCTGTTCTTGTTTGTCATGAACATCGGTCCTACCTCAAGGATGACGAACCATTTCATTACATTTTGTGATTCATAATGTTCCCATAAACAGAACAATTTCTTTGTGAATATCAGCTAGTTGCTGACATTTTGCATGAGAAAACGTATGACGAGCGCACTTCGCATTTGGTGGGATTCTGAATAAGTGCAGCCATTTTAAACACGACCTACTACAACCAGAATCAACGTGGAAATGCCGAACGACCACGAGGAGAAAGCTAACAGTTTGAGGTTAACACCTGTGTTGCTAGCTTGCTCACCAAAACTTTTCTTTTCCTCTGACGTACGGTGTATCTTTACTTTTCGAAAATGCCCTCGTACAATTAGAAATTATAAACTGTAAAATAAAATAAAATAAACTTCTACAACTCACATCTACTAAACGTAGCGCTAGCGAACCTTTGAGCAAAAGAGAACTGCTTTAGTGAAAAACCAAACAGCTAACTGATAAAATTACCCTTGACCTTCAGAAAATCACCCCAACAATTTGTTAGTTAATAACCAAATGTCCCCTCAAAAAAAAAAAAAAAAGAGGAAAGAGAGAGAGAGAGAGAAAAGAAGAAAGAGAAAAACTGGAAATAAAACACAGATGTGGACCCACCTTTCTGTTGTCAATGAACTGACTGATGAGATGCGGCAAAACAAAGAATGCAGTCTCTCAGTTGTCCTAGTGTTTTTGTGTGCCGTTCCATTTTAAGCAAGATTTCAAGGTAAAAATTTAAAACTAATATAGAATAAGGAGATTAGCACACAGCCAAAAAAAAAAAAAAAAAAAACATAGAAATTTCTTTTTAAGCAATTGCTTTTATATCCTAAAAAAATTGGGAAAATTTCTTTGAAAAATAAGGGTTTTAAAAAATTAAACATGGCTAAAATATATGGACTGGTTTGTGCTGAGCTGCCATCTACTATAAATAAAGAAGGTTCAGAGTAACCTCTAAATCCTTTTTCATTCAATTTTTCTGTGCGTACAGAAGGAAATTTTTAGGTGTGCCCGGGTTAACCTCCAACCTTCGGCAAAAATTAGAAAGAGCAAAACCCTGCACAATAATTAGTTTTAAATCATAATGAAGATACAAGTAAAAATAATTTATAAAAGTATCATAATAGTTACAAAAATTTTGTATTTCATAGCTTTATAATCCTCTTAAAATACATATATATATGTGCAGGAATGTTAATTTCACTTAATATTGAAAGATATTACTTATTTGGTTCACAGTAAAGTTCATAAGGCATTCATTAAACTGTTATTTTTTAAAATTAACTTAATGTTTGTTCAACATAAATTAGATTCTTCACAGATGTTCATATATTATTAATTGATGAAAAATATGTGTTAGAAAAATGCTGAAAACTGGAAAAATATACTCTCTTACATTGTAAAGGGAAATGTGTGCACAGATATACAGTGGATGGAAAAAAAATATGGAAACACCTTGTGAAATGCATGTTTGAAAAGAAAGATTGATTTTAACGAAATATGTAGGTGGCGCTGGCATTTTTTACTACTGACGCCACCTATACAACTTCGTAAATGTGCTAAACAGTTCAGTTGTTGTCGGAGTACTGTTATGTGAGGTTGTCATTGCATTATGTCAGAGTTAACAGACTTCGAACGTGGGCAAATTGTTGGAGCACGTATGGTAGGTGCTTCCGTAAGCAAGGTAGCCGAGGTGTTTAGTGTTTCAAGAGGTACTGTATCGAAGATTTATTCCGCATATTTGAAAAGCGGAAAAACATCATCTGCTAAATCACAGCGTGGACGAAAGTGTGTCCTGAGTGATCGTGACAGACGATCATTAAGGGCAATTGTGACGAAAAATAAGAAGACCACAGCTGAAAAAGTTACTGCTGAAATGAATGTTGTGTTACCGAACCCTGTGAGTACCAAAACAATTAGAAGGGAGATTCATAAACAGGGAATTGCTGGCCGTGCTGCAATTAAGAAGCCACTCATCAGTGATGCTAATGCCCTTAACAGGAAAATGTGGTGTTTAAGTCATAAAGCCTGGACTATAGAGCAGTAGAAGTGAGTAATATGGTCTGACGAGTCTTCTTTCACATTGTTTCCCACTTCTGGCCGAGTTTACGTCTGGAGAACGCCATCTCAAGCCTATAATACAGACTGCTTGTTGCCAAGAGTGAAACATGGCGGGGGTTCTGTTATGGTTTGGGCAGCCATATCGTGGTTCTCTGCTAGCCCCATGATAACTGTGTCAGGGCATATGACTGCCAAGACTTATGTGAACATTTTGGTCGATCAAGTTCATCCCATGGTACAAACTTTGTTCCCCGATGGTGATAGTGTCTTCCAAGACAACAAAGCCCCTGTTCACACAGCTCACATTGTCCAGGACTGGTTTTCTGAGCACAAGGATGAGTTGTCCCATCTTCCCTGGCCACCACAGTCACCAGACCTGAATATTATCGAACCTTTGTGGTCTACATTGGAACGGAAAGTGCGTTGTCGTTATCCACCGCCAACATCGTTATCTGAACTTGCCACCGTTTTGCAGGAAGAATGGTATAATATTCCCTTGGCAAACATACAGGAACTGTATTTATCCGAGAAGACTGCAAGCTGTTTTGGATACCAACGGGTTTCTTACACCATATTAAGCAAAGAAACATGTTTTTTTAAAGGTGTTTCCATATTTTTGTCCAACCCCTGTATTTCCTTTCAGAAAAAATGTAAAGAGCCTATCTTTCTTTCAGTAAATTCTTATTTCCTGAGCATGACTCCATATACTCTCTCAGCTCAGTGCATAGTATTATGACAATAAATTTTGGCAGTCTAAAGTATGCAATAGACCATGGTTTCTTAAACATTTTTCAGTCACAACCCCTTTTTATCATTGATATTTTTTTGTGACTCCCAGGACCCCATAATATTTACAAAAATTTTGTGGGACCCCATAATTATTGCGCAAATCCAACACACCCATAAGTGAAACTATCATTTTTTTTTTTTTTTTTTTTTTTTTTTTTTTTTTTTACTGTAATATACTATTGCAGTTGTAGGTCATTACTTTAATTCTAATTTTAAGGCATAGAACAATGTGAAAGTTTAAATAAGTAACGACGAATGACAGCGTCACGTCAAAGCAAGGAAAATGAATGTTTATATATAAAAAGAATCCATCGAAACATTTTCGTTTTTTCCTTTTGTATTGTCTTATCTTTATCTATTTTCAGATACATTGTATAAAAATATTTGGTAATTCTAAAATTATTATAATAAGTTCAAAACTGCTAACATTTTTAGTGACCCCATGCTGCAGGTTCCGCAACCGGGGGTCACAACCCACAATTTAAAAAACCCTGCAATAGACATTTTGGGGAACAGCAAATGCATTGTCGTGGTTTTGATAATTTCAATGCCGATTTGGAGATCTGCCATTATATTTTTCAATTAAATATGAAACAAATTAGCCGCAAAAACACATACAAAGCTGTGATCAACTTCTAAAACCACCTGCATCAGCTTCCTTGACGACGCTGCAACCATTTTCCCCACGTTTTCAACCAATTCCATATTTGCAAAATATGCATTGTTAACTAAAGCTGGTTTTCACTACTAGTGACATCTGGCGGCCAGTAAACTGAAGACAACTCTCATGGCATAGAATAGGTGTCCAGATCATCTAGTATAGTGGCTGGTCATCTTGGAGATGGTTCTCTGTGTCTCATAAAATTCAAAAGTAACAAACATGTAATAGGACATTTTTATCTAGATTTTTCTTTGATAAGAATTTTCACAAAGTCTCTGATACCGATTCTGTATTCTTGTAAAACAGATTCATAAACAGGACTTTTTTTTGGCAAATTTAACACACAGTGTTGTTCTCAAAATTTTTTACCTGTAGTTATACCAATGAATGAAACCCTGCAAGCTTCTAGTTCTTATGTAATTGCTTGCTTTGCTTATCTTCCAAAATGCTCCATAGCAACCTGTGTAAATGATTTCCAAATTGTAATCTGTCTCTTTAAGCTTTACAGCTTCTTTATTTTGGGGGGAGGTACTATTTTTGCCAACACAAGCACACAGCGAAAAAAAAGGGGGGACAGTTCTGTATCTCTCGTTCCACTGGGCTGATTGACAAAATTCAACTTGCATTTTTCATGCCTCAAAAGCAAGACATAGGATATATATTAGATTTAGATTTATGTATAGCATCATTCTAACTTAGGTATTTTGACACAAAATCAGATTTTTTGAAATGGCCTGCCAATTTTTTTCCATATTTCGATTCTCTGATTCAGATTATACCAAACTGCCAAGTTTTTATAAAAATCACACAAGTAGTTTTTAAAAAATTAGCTCTCTCAAAATTTTAGCTCATCTACATTAGTTGAATTTGGTATATATTTATTAATCTGTTCTTTTATTAAACTTACTTGATTCCTTCTTCCAGAATTCAAAATTCAGGCTTAATCCAAATATAATTTGCACATGTATTATTATTTTTTAAAATTTGTATTTTAAATTATCTTTTATAAATTTTTCAAAAAAATTTTTTTATTATAACCTATAAAATGTTTAATATCTTCTTAAAGTAGATGTATTTCTAGGCACACCTGCAAAAAATTAGAATTTTTTATTCAAAATTTATAAGATATACATGAATTTACATATTGGTGCATTTTGAAATTCGGCATCTTGTTTTTGAGCAATAATAACACCAAATGCATTTTACGCACTTTGTTAAAATCATTTAAAAGTATGAATGATGACTTTTCCCCACTCGTCTGCAATGAAAAAAAAAAAGAAAAGGAAAATAGGTTGCTATAAATTAAGAAGAGCAAAGTGAAAGAAATATGGCAAGGTAAATTTTTGAATTTCTCCATAAATTTTGCACCAAATTTTACAAAATTTATTATTAAAACATAATTTGAGTCGTAGAATCGAAATATGGAAAAAATTGGTATGTCATTTCAGAAAAAGTCCGATTTTGTATCAAAATACCTATGTTAGAATGATGCTCTATGTAAATCTAATATATATATTAAGTCTCACTTTCGAGACATGAAAAACGAATTTGAATTTCATGAATTGGTCCAATAGAATGGGAGATATAGAACCGTCTCCTTCCCCCCCTCCAGCGTACACAATACATGTACACATTCAATATTTGCATAGTTCCATCTGCATCAGCAGTGATCTCAGCTACTCAAATGCAATTACGCTTCCAAAAATTTCTGATTTGCATTACATGTTTAACTTTTGGAAGCCAGCGTACTTTAGCTTTATAGTATATACCTATATAATGCTTTTAATATGAAATCATACTGAAAATATTGGTAAGTTTTATCATTTAATATCATCATATTTTTTCTTTTCTAGAAACCAATGGATAGAGCATATTTTACCATTTGTAAGTTTATTTAATTTTTTATTTATTTCTTGTAATTTTTTTGTCAGAGAGTGAGTTTAAAACTAAGTTTAAAATATCAAAGATATATTTAAGGTCTCTCGTTTTTCAGATTACCTTAAAGCTTCCAACTCCAGAAGACCGCCCACCTCCATACTTTGAATACGATAATTGTTCATATTCTTTGTGGCAAGAACCTAGTACCGTTAAGAATTCTCAAGTTACACAGCAAAATTCGTTTCCTTATTCACAGTCTTTTACATCACTTCATCGCTCTGGTTTCTACTCTGTGCAAACTCCTGCTAAGAAATCTGTATCTGCTGATTTAGTTCCTGTTATCTCTGAGCCCAAAGCTTCAGAAGATGGTAAAGTCACTCCTGAAGAATCAACAGAGCATAAGCACTGTTGTTATTGGTGTTCTCTTAGTTGTGCATGGTTTTGTAAAGTTCTTGGTACATGTATGCATCAGTGTTGCAGTAATTTTACTTTAACAATTTAGTGCTTTTCAGGGTGAGATATTTTAGAAGCACTGTTTTAACTGTTAAAATTAATTTTGTATAGAAAGTGTTATGTATTTTGATTGCTTATACTCATTTGCACAATTTATGTAAATACTACTGAATTTTGTTGTTTCCTATGTATGTTCCTTCCGGTGTATAAAGTATTTTGTACTGGGTTTGAATTGTGTTTTTCTTTTGTTATACAAATGTGTGCAATTTTTGTTTTTGTGTTCATTTTATTTTTTTAATGTAATTTTGAATTAATATGAGTTCATGCATGTGTATTATAGATGTATATATAAACTAGATTTTTAGCTACTTTACATTTAAGTAAGCAAGTGTCGGAAACACTAAGTAATAAAAAAAATTCAAACATTTTGATGTCCAGTCATATTTGCAGTGATGTAAATTTAATTTTATAAAACACTTCAGAAATTCTATGTAAATTAAAAGTTTTTAAAGTTTAAAGCAATATGATTATATAATAGATTGTGTGGCTTCCTCGATCTATATGTTATTCATGACTCTCAGTTTTTGTAAAGAATGCTGAATGCAATAATAAAATCTTCTGGCAGATCATGCTAAGACAAAAGAGGAGAACCAATTATATTTTAAAGGATTGCACTCTTGTATCACTAATTGAATGCTGAAGAAGACAAAACTGAAATTTAAACATTAAAGTTTAAAAAGCAAAAATAAAAATGTATTTAAAACTGACAAAGTATTTCCATTTTGAAGTGCCTTTCGTTACTGCTGTGTTAATAAAAATGAGAACTGAGTATGTGTTTTAAAATGCTGCTGTCAGATGTGATATTTCCGGAAAGCATTTTTGTATTGTGGTTATTATCTTGTGCTTTTTTAAAAGATGGAAGTTTATTATTGGTTATCCTTGTAATTGTTTTTTAGTATGTTTTAAAAACAGGAATAGGTTTTTAATAAATATTTTTTAAACTTTTTTGGTACTAATTTGGTAATGCTTTTAAGAAATTAACTGTAATATAGTTTTAATAATTTAAGAATGTACATATCAAATAATTTCTTTTATAATCTAAAAGAATTAGAGATATTTACTGTAGGTAAGACTAAATGCATTAATTGTTAGAACAGTGTGAAATTTTCTAAATTGTTATGGAATTTAATACATTTATACCTGTAATATATTTCTTTACAAGATAATATTGCATATTTTTTATTTTATTGATTTAGATAGAATCTTTAGCATATTAAGTAGTGTCCTAATAGCTATGTTACCGTGATAACTTTTAAAGTATCTGCTTCATGGCAATAAATTTACATGCATACCATATGAGGTTGCATACAGGCTGTAGGAAAAGTGCTTAATACATATAATTGCATGAGCTACTGTGCACACAAAAAAGGGGGATGGAACAAATATTTAACATTTATATGTATACATGTGCCAGAAAACAGTATGTTCCTCAAACTGAAAAGCAATAAATTCACCAAGCTTCCTTATGCACTTGCTACTTCACAGTTTTTGTAGCATATATGTTGGCCACTGGTTGGAGCATTAACCTCGTGTAGGTATAGTAAATTTCTTTTGACATGTGGTCTATACTTCCTGGGAAAAGGCTCTCAGTTGTTCTTGTAATTTTCACCTTTGCATATCATTTTTGAGGACCTTCCTACAATTCTGGCAGTAAATTGGGTCAAAATACAGTCTAAATCTCGGTAAGTTCGGTCCAGCAGTAATTGGGTCTGGCAGTAAATTGGATCAAAATGCAAACTTAGTTTGCCATGTATTGATAGAGCAGGCAGAATGTTGCTTAGTAAGGTTTTAATGGAAAAGTAAATCTCCCTATGGATGAAAGCCTCTAGATGTGACTAGGCTTTTGCTTATGATTGTATCAAAAATTATTCACATCATGTAATCTGTCACTAGTCATTCACCTGAGGTACAAGTTGCTGTATGTGTTTGCTCCACATTCTTGCAGTTTTTGTGAAAGTTGGTGCTAAGTCTAAAACTTATCACAAGACGAATTCAAGATAAAATATACTGGAGAAACCAGCTTTCATGTTGTGTCTGAGGAAATTTCTGACAGAAACTAATCAATATTATATCCTGAAGCATTTTTCTATCTTGTTTGCATATTAACAAAAATTTGAATATAAATGTGAACAAAAGTTCTTTTGTTGGTAAATAAGCTTATGTTTGTGCATGAGAGTTTGTAGAGGAATAATTCAGGCATGCTTTAAGATATCTGGTATAGTATTTAAATTGATTTTCATTCTAAATCATAAACCAAGCAAAACACTATTCATTATACAGCTTTTCTATAAATATATATAAATTCACATTTGCTGATCATTTATAATAACCGCATATAAAATGAAAGTAAATTTATTGTCATAGGCAAGATATGTGAAAAAGTCTTCCTTAAAAGAATTTAATGCTTTTTTAGTTATTTTCTAAAATATGTATTTGAAAATCCAAAGATTTGTAATTTGAAACTCAGTTAATCATTTAAGTATTTTATTTTTATCTATACTAGTCAAGATTATTTTACATAGTATATTCTAGTCTCAGTTTATTGCACTAGTTAGTGGTTATGTTCTGCATTATATTAGCTTTAAAAATGGCTTGTTTGAAAAGTGTAGTTTATAGAAATGAGATATATAGAAATATGTTAGAATCATATCAGATTATTTTGTACTGTGTACTACAGTATCTTTTTACTTTTTAATTTAAAAAGCAAAGTATGAATGATTGATCTCTCTCTTGTTCATTCCTTTTTTGCATATATATTATGAACATTTTCCCCATTATGTTCTTTTTCTCTAAAACCAAAGTGACTTACTTCTGAAAATGTCATTTACAAAGTGTTGTAATGAGCCTTTATACTTTCTGTATGAATTCTATGTTGGTTGAATTTACAGATTAACTCTCTGCTTTACATTGACTGACTTGAAATGTAATTTTTCTTTCATAGATGAATCCTAAGTTTTATATGTTAAAGTAAATATTTTTACGTATGTAAATTATTTTTCAAATATAGTCTCCTGAAATGTTAAAATATAGTCATTTTAATTTATAATTAATTTTATATTATCACATGTGATTGTATTAGTTGAAGTGCTGAGTTATATATTATTATTAAGATAACAAATTTGTAATTTTCTTACCTTGAAACAAAGATTTTTGTCATTTATTCTTGAAAAATAAAGTACATTGAAACTTAAGCTTCTTTCTTTTTTTTTAATTATTAAAGTATATTTAGAACACCATATTTACTGATATGCCTTCCTTTTTTTCCTACTAATTTAATCTTTTGAAAATCGAAAAGGGAAAACAATATGGTACAAATAAGGTTTTGAAGGGTTTGCATAAGATGTTGTTACTAGTGTTAAATCCTATTGGATAATCTTGTAGCTATATTCATGTTAAGTGTTCATTTTTGTCTAAAAATCAGTCTGTTTCATTTCACTGAAGTGTAAACAAACTCTTTGTGCTCAACCCATGTCAACCTTTCTACCAACAAAACAAAATTTGTGGGAAGCCCTTCTTTTTTGTTTTAATTTGAAGAAAACTGCAGCTGATGGGCATCAATTGCTGTGTGAAGTATATGGGAAACATGTGAGTGCTGGTTCCAGCACTTGAAAAGTGAAAATTTTGACTTCAACAACAAAGAACATGAAAGAAGGCCACTAAAGTTTAAAGAAGCTGAGTTGGAGGGGTATTGGACCAAGATTCATGCTCCATCAGTGGAGAACATAACAAACAACAATTGATGCAACTAAACCAAGCACTGAAGCTCAAATGCCCCCCCCCAATATGCCAAAAGACATGACAAAGTCATCTTTCAGCTCCACAATGCTCGCTCACAAACTCCAACAGTCATCAAGGAAACTTTGAAGAGGCTTCAATGGGATGTCTACCCCACCCGCACCTTCCGACCTCCACTTGATGGTGATTGGCTGAACAGCACTTCACTTCATACGAAGAAGCCAAAAATTGAGTCGGTTCTTGGATCACCTCAAAAGAGGAGGACTTTTTTAAACATGGAATCCATATGCTACCTGAAAGATGGAAAAAGTCATAGCTAATGAAGGACAATACTTTGAATAAAATGCATTCTTCTAATTTCTCTGAATAAAGCTTCAAAGTTAGACAAAACTTATGTGTACACCCAATATGTAAAGTAAATATGATATCTATTGTATTCAGGGCCGGATTAAGGGTGTCGTAGGCCCTAGGCACTCCAGCAGCGTAGGCCCCGAAATAATAAACATTTTTTAACTGAAATTGACCGCTAATATTAAGTAATAATTTTGTTGTAGATATAAATCCGAAAATGTGATGATGCGGTAAAATAACATTATTTTATTTTGGGATTTTAATGTTTTTATTTTTCATAGAGCCATTTTCAATAGCCATAATTCCAGAATTGAGTTTATCTGCAACAATGCAACTTTTATATCTACCAAATTCCATGCAGAATTCCAGGGTTTTAGTACATGAACATGACAAGACATTAGCCGCCGGGAAAACCTCTCGGACGGGCACATGCGTTTGACACAGTTGGCCACGTTTCCATGCCCACTACCAAACGCTTGCGCGCGATCGAGAGGTTTTCCCTGCTGCTAAGGTCTTTTGTTTTAGTAGCTCAGTTGTGTAATAAGTTAATATGTAAACACTACGATAGAGCGTGTATGCCTGTGCTTGTATTTAATCACGCTCAACCCCAAGTCAATCTTTAGTTTAAAAAACTGGAAGTTAAATTTATTATAAGTAAGGTAAGTAAAGGAAAGTTGTTTTTATACTCTACTTATTTCAACCTAGTTTTTGATTCTGGAATATTGCTTCATTCCATTATAAATAATAGAATTTTCATTTTATCACTTCTTATTAGTATAATAGTCTGCCGTAGAATGCAGCACAATGCAAGGAACTTTGAGTAGGCCTACTATGGGGTGGTTTAGCCATACTATTGTAAAAAATCTCCAGTAGTAGTCGTAGAATAGTACAGTCCAAATCACCTTTGGAATAGCTTAATTTTAATCCATACTCGTAAATCCGGGTTTCATTTTTACAAGTTTAAAATGCATTACTTAACAAATTTAAAATAACTTTTTAGCTTTCTGATAGCATAATAAAAAAAAGCGACGGGCGCAAACTAAAATGTATATTTAAAGGTGACGAGAAGAAGGAGAAAACAAGTTTAAATTTTAGTTTGTGCGTGCCCATCGCTTTTATTATGGTATATCAGAAAGTTAAAAAATTATTTTAAACTTTTAAGCGCAATTTATAAAAGCTTTTCTTAAATATTTTTTTTTAGCGAAAAAATGTCTGATGGATATAAAAGAAAAACACCAAAAAGTGGACATGAAAAACGCAAAAAGAAAGAGAAAGTGAGTGAGTCGCTTAGTAAAATTAAAGGTTCTTATTGAAATATGTTAACATTTCTAAGGAGACAGAAGATAATGCAGATGCGGTAGATATTTCCTCGATCGAGGTTAGACCTAAAGAAGCTGAGGCTTGTTGGGACTCGCAAGAATGTTCAACCAATAAAACTGAGAATGTCACAGAAGACGAGCGGGGTTTACGAACGAAATTTTTAACGACGCTTCCAAGCAGGTGGTGCCTGAATCACTACCACAACAATCAGCCTCAAGTATTTTCAGTTCTGATCCAGCACGGTGGGACAACCATAAGCGCAGATCTTATCGATTACTTCTCTCGTAATCACCCTGTGCAGAAATTGGATATAAATTTTAAGTTATACGCCACTAAATTTGGCGAAATAATGAGATGTCCATCACAAGATTATTTTTTTCAGAAAACTGAACAACAATGATATTATAAAAAGGGACTGGTTGATATTTTCCGAATCTACTGGCAAGTTTTTTTTTTTTGTTGTTATAAATGTATTTTGTTCAAATCGGACCTACCTGGAAATCCAAACCTGTGTAACCAATTCCTTACAGGCTTTAATGATTGGAAAAACGCACATTCGAGAATTTCAAGTCATGAAGTGTCAAAAGAACATTTTGCATCTATTTCTGCTTTAGTGAACTACCAACAAACTAGAAAAATTGATGAGACGTTTGATATTGTCAAGGAAAAAGAAAGCACATATTGGACAACGGTTTTAAGAAGAGTAGTGGAAGTAATTAAGTTTTTGGCCGAAAGGGGACTAGCGTTAGAGGCGATAATGAAATACATGGTGATCCTAGTAATGGCAATTTTCTTGAGTGTATCGATCTCTTAGCCAAATTTGATCCGTTTCTAGAAGAACATGTAAAAGATACGGTAATCCAGGCCGCGGAAAAGTATCATATTTATCCTCCACAACGTATGAAGAACTAATAATTTTACTGGGGTCAAAAGTATTGGAAAAAATAGTTACAGAAATCAAAGAAGCCAAGTATTATGGAATCACTGTGGATTCTACACCTGACGTTAGCCATACGGATCAACTCTCCATAGTTATTAGATATGTCTCAAAAAACTGGAGATATATATGAAAGATTTTTTTTGATGTTTGTTAAAATAGAAAAACATGATGCCAAGTATCTTTTTGACACTCTAATTTCAGTTTTAGAAAATCGGGAATAGACCCAAAATTTTTGCAGATGTCAGTCTTATGACAATGCGGCTAATATGAGCGGAGTGTATTCGGGAGTAAAACTAGATTTAGGGAAATCAACAGCGCAGCCACTTGGGTACCATGTGAGCTCATAGTCTTAATCTAGCTGGCACAGCGGGCGGCAGAAAGCTGCTTAGAAGCTGTAAAATTTTTTGAAATTTGCAATCGCTCTACAATTTCTTGCAGCGTCCCCTCAAAGATGGTCTAAACTAAGGTCTTTGGGAAGTAAAATTTCTGTAACAAAGACTTTCAGAGACCAGATGGTCAGCACGTTATGAGGCTGTAAAACATTATGTGCTCATTATGATGATATACGTGGTATTCTTACAAATATTTCACTAGTGAAGGTATGAAACCTACAACAGTGATTGAGGCACAAACCTTAATCCATCAATGAATACTTTGGAGATGGTATTACTCACAGTTATTTGGGAAGATCTACTAAAACACGTCGATATTGTAAAATAAATCTCTTCAAGAACCTGGCATCGAGTTTAACACGATGGTGCGACTTTACGACAGTTTAATTCAATATTTATCTCACTGCAGAACTGAGGACATGTATAATAGCTATTATCTTAAGGCAAAAGCCCTTGCACCAGATTCAGAATTTAAAGAATCCGAAACTAGAGTTCGTAAGAGAAACGACAGTTCGATGAAGGGCCAGATGAGACTCCCTCTCGCAGTGCCAAAGATTCCTTTAAGATTAATGTTTTTTTTATTGTTCTGGATGTGCTTTGCGCTGAAATGACAAAGAGACGCCACTGCGTATACCAGCCTTTATGACACCTTTAGTTTTCTTACGGATAATACACTGACCGAGGACATTATCAAGGTTAAGGCTCAAGCTCTGGTAAAAAATGTATCCGTCTGATTAGAAGAAAACTTTGTTGATGAGTATTTGATTTTTTCAAATTTGTACCCCAAAACCACCTCTATAACGGATCTCATCAATTACAAATAAAGGATAAACTTGTGTCAAGTTTCCCAAATGTTAATATTGCATTGCGCATATACCTTTCGATATTGGGTTCGAATGCAGAGGAGAAAGATCATTCTCCAAGTGAAGCTTATAAAAAATTTTATGCGTTCAACTATGGGTCAAGAGAGAACTTCGTCACTGGGCCTTCTGTGTATTGAAGTGATGTCGCTCGCGGCATTAATTTTGAAGATATAATACCACGAATTCGCTGTGTCAAAATCCCGAAAAAAGGAGTTATTTTAGGATCTACTTAGTAAACAAACGTTTTGTATTCGTATTTTTTGTGTATTGTATTTACATATATTATTTTGACCTTCACTATATAATAATATAAAAATGTTTATAAGTTTTTGGGGTATTTTTATTTCAATATATTTTTTTCAAAGCCCTAAGACCTTTGGCCTTCGTAGGCCCTAGGCACGTGCCTACTGTGCCTAATTGGTAATCTGGCCCTGATTGTATTATTGTTTCAAAACTGTAATTGAAATTTGTAACAAACAGTATCCTGTCTGTCATCTATAATTTTATGTGCAGTAGAACTCCAGTTATCTGTATTTAAGGTTAACACACAGCCTTATTTCAAGGATTAAATACAGCATACAGGAGGAATT